ATGTAGAGCTGGGAGATGTCTCATTTTAATCAGAAATGTGCGGGCTACAATCATGTCTTACTAAGAAAAGGTTTTGGTTATTTTTTAGAGTTTCTGAAAAACTGTTTTCCCAGAAAACCAGGTCTTCAAGAGTCAAGGGGATGGATCCTTTTAGAGTTTTTATATACGCTATGAGTCCTACCTATGAGCAGAGTATGAGCTCAAACAGAGGGTATCAGTTGGTGAGGTTCCCTCGTCAGTCCAATTTTCTTCTGAATATTTTATCTACCGTTTTGTAGCTCGTGAAATTCTCTGTCAGACGATATATGATAGTTGAGGATTGTTCTAAGAGAAAGAGATGAAATAATGAAAATACTCCGAGCACAGTGAAAGAAATGTTTGTTTGCGAATGCGTTTCCAGGGTGCAGTGAAGAAAAAAAATGTTAAGGTTAACTGCGGACAAAAACTACATCAGATCGTTTGATATAACTGTGATCTGTGACGGAGCCGATTTGACCTCTTATCGATCTTCGTCCTTCTGGATAGTTTACATGCGGAAAGGCTCCGGGAGTTCTCCAGTGGAAGCGAGCAATTTCGTTCAGAAGTAGATAGAGGAAAGTTTGTGGTACTCTACTGTAATACATTTTTGGAGACTTGAAAAAAAGTACAAAGTAAGGAGGGGTCTTGAATATTTTCTTTTTCAAGCTGATTGTATTTCGCTTAGAAATCTAGTTTAACGTGAATCTGAAATTTTATTAAGAACAGAAAAGTAACAAAAAAAGGAACAGAAAAGGTCGAAACTATAATTCTTGTGCTCGATCATCAAATCGAACCATTTGTGCTTCCGACGGTTTTCCTTTACAGTCAACATAAAATAACATGTAAAATGCAGGCGGAATATTAGCTGTTTGAGCGTTGGGCGTCCGGAGGTGAATCTGTCCTGTCCCGTTGTTTATGGCATTCGATGGCACAACTGTATAAGGTAGTTCAACGAATTTTTGTCCACCATCCCAGCCATGTGTATTTGATGGTAGCTTGATCATCACGAGTGACGCAATACTCTTACCACACCTCATTGGCAAGCCATCTAATATGATGTTATAGTTCTTGTTGCTTTTTAATAGATAATATGTTTTCTCGTGGATCACGGATTTGTAATTATAAGCTTTTGGTGGTGTCAACAGTTGAATATCACGAATCGACGCACGTCGATTTCCATCGATAAACAAATATGGTGGACTAAATATTTCAGCAGCCCATATTTCAGTGGGAACACCGAGCATTCCTTTCTGATGCCGACCAAGTGGACCATCATCAATAAAATACATGTCCAAATCGACTGAGTCTAAATTTGGCTTTGGCTGTTGCGTTATATTCGTTTGCTGCTGAGGAATGATTGTATTACGAACTGTTGCTCGTGCTGAATTACCGCCTGAAATCCATATCCGACCATCCGGCAGTAAGATGGCTGTGTTATGATACAATCTCGGCTGAACGCCAACATTCATTCTTTGTTTACGGTAGCCAATAAATGCATTTTGGTCATTATAACGAGGCGTGAGTAAGATGGGGTAGAAGATCGGTCCGTAAAAATCATAATTAGCTCCATTAATAATCAAAACTTGTCGTGTAGGCAGGATGAGAGCCGAGTGCATCGTACGATCTTCATCAAGAAAATTACGATCTATTGTCCAATGCTCACTGGACAAATGAAACTGCTCCAACTTTCGACTACCTCTACCACCAGCATAATAATTTTCTTTTTGTTGATAAAGAAATGTTCCACTTGATGTGGGTTGGCCACCTAGAATCATAATCGACTGACTATTTGGGTCCAAGAATGAAGTTCCATACGATGTGGCTTCATCCAACCGGCTTGGTCCAGGCTTAAATGTAATCTTCGTTTCTTTGATCGTTACAAAATATGTTCGATTTGTTCGACGCATATGTGCCGTGTCACTCGTTCGCATACTAACCCAGTCACCCTCCCTTGTCATGAATATTCGACCGTCGTCGAGAAGGTAGTTTTCCGGATACAGTTTAAATACATCATACTGATTGTCGAGTTTGCATCTGTCATCGCAGTTAACACCTGGTGTAGGTTGAAAAGGTTGGTTAATTAGCGAAGTGAATGGGCCGTTTGGTGAAGCTTTCACATCAACTGCTGTCCATGCCGCTTGAGTGTTATTTGTCTCGAATAGACTTGGATCAAAGAATTCAACCAATGAATTCGTTTCAAACTGATACATCTCCGGATAACCTACGTCAAACCCAACATAACCGCCAAACAGAGCCAGTCGCCCGTCTAGCAGAGGTACCAAACTTGTATACCATCTGCCACGTTCCATAAAACCACTAAATATCCACGGATTTTCTGCCAAAGGTTCTGGGATCAGACGCCAGTCAACTGTTGACCATGTAATATTTAGCTCCTTTTTCCAATCAAATATATACGTTGCACGGTGTCCCGTGCGATACGGATAATAGTACTGCGTGCCACCAGCAAATAGTATATTTCCATCAGGGAGATGTTGATGACCTGTACAAAACAAATCGTTTGGTGCAAAATGATCTTTAACTAAAGGATCATCAACCGGGGTTGGGTGTGAAATACGATAAAATGTGTTTTCTTTCGGATCATAAACACCAGCATTATTAACCAACTGATAATATTCGTCTAGTTTTGAATTATGAAATGGATCTTGATCTTTGTTCCAGATTCCCCGACCTGCTTTTGGATTCGGAAAATCAGGATAAAACTCAACGGGTCCAAGATTGCGCCAACTACTACCGCTTGTCATGAGAACTTTACCAGAGGGTAACAGCACACTGTGAACAGTTTGCATACCTAAACTTTGACCAACAGCACCACCATCACTTCTTGGAATAACCGGTTCCCAGCTACCATAAATGCTTGAATCTGACTTAACTGCCAGAAAGGGTGCAAACAGACTTGTAACAATAACCAAAAACTGCATTGCATTGCACTCTTTGTTTTTTTGAATAAAATACCTCTTTGAATGCATGGTTTAGCCAGGCTATTTTTATACTGTTGAACAGGGAAGTACACATTATTGAAACATGTAGTTTCTGCTAAATCAGAGGAAGGAAGTGATGTAATAAGGCGCCCACGCAATCAAGAAAATCAAATCACTTGGAAATCACCCGTGAGAAAATAAAATAAAATCCCTATAAATATCACACCTGCTTCATACGCGTGGTAGATAACAGAAAAATCCAAAATGACAAAGGAGGTTTAAGAAAAGGAACAAAAAGAGAAGTAAATTTTATTTTGCGATTAATGACAACAATGTAAGGGAAATAAAGCTTTGATACCATTCCTGAAGCAGACCCTCGTTACTTATACTAGGATAAATCACAGTTCTGAGTTAAACACCCGTAAGCACCATTCTGCTTGGATTTTAAAGGGTAACAATGATAATATACCACGAAACGTGCTATGCTTTACATGCATTTATCCTCTTCTAGAAATGCTGAGGGACTAAACCTATTTTTATACCTACGAGAGACACGGTACATATGGGACGAACAAACCGAACACATTTTGTAACGATTAATCCGTTTTGTAAAGAAACAGATTTTCTACAAAATGTATCTCGACTTTTTTCAAAAAGATTTTCAGTTAGGAAGTTCCAGATAAAGCTTTCTTCTATCCCATTCGAACTTCGAATGAAATATAAGAAAGCCGAATGCGTGATGTTTTTACATCAAAACAGCATCAGCACATTTCAGCCATTAATATATAAATAATGATTCATTAAAACATCTCAGTAAGTCTAGATCATTTCAAATTGAAAAGGCGAACCAAAGTAATAAAATTGTTTATCAGGTGCCATTTTTAATTTATTATTATTTATTTATTTATTATTTATCAATAACTTTTGACTATAAAAGCCACAGATCATGATTATAACGGCTGATTGACTGTGCACTAACCCGCAGCACGCCGTTTCATAGTTATTACTTTTTGGTTGAGAGTAAGATCCTCCCTGATTTTTGCCCTCATGAAGGAGAACAGGAAGGTACGTGAAGATTTGAACATCTATGTATCTGTACATCTAGATATATGTAGAACTGAAGATCTTAACACCTGAATATCTAAATATCTGAACATCTAGATATTATATACTTCTAGATGTTCACAAGTCAGATCGGTCTCCTTAGGATGCTGTTTCAGCCCTAGTTGCATCATGCTTTACTCTGACTTTTCTTCGAAAACACGATTCAGTCAAGGTAAATGGTTTAAACAGGCTCAGAGATTGAGCAACAAGAGAAAAGACAAGAAAGCAGGAAAGCTTTTATTCCTTGATATTCTCAATTTCACCGAAGTTGCTGAGTACTTACACTGCGAATCGTAGTTAATTATGTTGGAAAGGCAATTTTACTTTGAAAAAGTCGAAAAGCAGTCGATATCAACTACAAAAAGTGTGCGTATGGTCTAAGACTAAAAATCAAATACTGAATACTGAATGCTAAATGCTAAAAGCTATACTAGCATAGATGGTCCGGAGATACGAGTCTGCAGCGGATGCAGTTTGAGCATGTTCTCAAAAGCCAGTTAAAACATGTGTGCACAAGGAAATGACATTAAAAGGTTCCATATTGTATAACAATCATAATACTTCGAATTCATTTGTGATTTTTCCCATAATGACAAGTAGCCACGAGAATATATATTTACCAAATGTTTTACTACTTAGTACTATCACAGTATCATGCACACGATTGAGTCAAAACGTATCTGCGGACGGCAGGCATGTGTCACAAAACCTGCAAGGTCTAAAAGAGGATAGTACATTTTGTTCGATAATCTCTCAATCAAAAATGATGCATTTAGAATCAAGGCCTATCAAATAATATATTTTTTCTTTCTTCAAATGCTTTTATAAGATAAGAAAAGAACAAAGTTCAAAAGTCATTTCGATAAAAACGTCAATTTTTGCCAACTTTAAGACCCTATAAAAAGTTGCTCCCTTGAAACAAGACCTTCTCATTTATATTTTTGTATAGCACTCGTCTAAGACTATCTCTGATAAAAAATCGGAGAACGGACCATGCTAGTTTTCGAAAAGTCCTTGTCGGGAGACCGATAGTTTTTTAAACTTATCACGTAGAATACATTTATTAATGCTATTTTTCCTATTAAAACTTAATAATCCGTAGATAATTCGACACGCTGAATCTCAACCTGAATCTACTCTTAAATCCATTTTATTGAATCAAAAGTTCCACTCACGATTCGTTTTTTCCCAAAAAAATTATTGTTACAATACCGTACGTGGAGATGTCGCCATTCGATAATAATATACGTTTGTTCAGGAATCTAACACGAGTCTGCTGATGAGATGTCTTATAGACAAAAGATACTTTATGATCATGCTTATCGTGAATTCATGCCATTATCGTGTTATAAAATATGTCCATATTCAGTCTTACTTAATTGTCGAATTCAATGCATAAATAGAATTCCTCAATATGCACAGAAGATCGAAGACGTAAAGCTGATGATCTTTTACAGAATACATATGAAAATCAAGAAGTAGCAACTTTAAATGTCGATGATAATGCTCTAACTACTGTAATGCTAAATCTTGTTCAATCATTGCTGCATTGACAATTGTTCGTTTAGTTGGTATCGGTGCCACATGTTGATCGTGATGACAACAGGTGCACATAATATATTGGTTGTTGTAATGAAATCGAATAGGATAAAAACGTTTGGTGCAGAAAACAGTGTTTTATTCGGTTCTTATAGTTTTCATCAAATATCTATCCCCTTTAACAACTCAAGGTATTACAAAACATAAACAAAGGTCATTAAGAGAAATACTCAGATTTCAAAACATTACTAGTGGACAAGGAGTGCTAAAATGTGATGGTTGTGGAGATTGTAAAACCGATAGATGCAAATGTAAACAAGCAAGTGGTGTAATTCAAGATGTCACCATTCAGCAACATTCGGTAACAAATAAACTGGATTTTTTAAACTGTGCTCACTTGTTCTAAATAACCTGTATATCTTTGATTTTCTGGTAGACAAATGTATGTCGGTTGTTTAGCGAAAAGCTTAACTTTATTCAAGTTAATCTTTTCTATAATAATTTTTCTTAAAGATTAGTATATTTCAATATTATAGATGGATGAATAAAATAGTATCAATAAAATAATGTTTTTTCACGTAACTTCACCTTGAGAAAGAATAGATGAAAAAAAATTTTTTTCTGTATTTCGTATAAAAGACTCTCAATTTGTCCATTATGTGCACGTAAAGGTTAAATTATATAAATTAACTATGCGTTATCAGAAGACAAAACAACAACAAAAATATGCAGGAACAGAAATCAAATGAAAAAGCACAATACAGAAGAAGTGCCCCACATGAGTGGCATCGGTATATCTTCTGCATCAATACTCAAACTGGTTTTATTTTATGTGATGGAGAAGAAACGTTTATAAGATATTTTCGGTCTGAGTCATAATTTAGAATCAATGAGGATGACTTTAAACGAGAAGCTCATGAACTAGATAAATCTACGGATATTAAGTATTCGTGCTTTGCCTCACGAAACATGGTCATTCAGTACCCTGTGAATTTAGAAGCAGCTGCGTGGAAGCGTCAAGATATGTTTTTTTATTTAAACAGTTTTCTTTATATGAGCCATATTAGGGAACTTGATCCTGACCGAATGCGGATCAAAATGTGTTTTCATGAGTTTAGTCAGGAGCACTGTAGCAAAAAACGCGGAATAGAAAATGAGTGCAAATGACTGTGTATAGTATAAAAATACCATCTGTAGCATTCATTGTTTGAGCTGGTTTGTCATAGAATAACTATTCTATTTCTAACGTATTCAACGTATGAATAATTTAGCAGTATTTTTCTCTTTATTTTTGTTTAAAAAATCGTTTTTGTCATCATAAAACCTTGAACCTTGTCATTTCAATGTTTTATAAATGATAAAAAATAACATTTTAAATAAAAAAGAAGACAAACGCGCATTTGCGTTTCAAGGTTTATCTCTTCACCATCTGACGAAAACCGCTACGGCTACATCCCAATCAACTCCGACAGATTTACGTTTCAAAGTTTGAAGAGAGGGTGACGCCCGCCGTCAATGGTTAAATGTAAAACGATCTATAATACTTACCCTCGGCAATTTAAATGGTACAATTAAACCCATTCCATCATTCCTTCTTGTGAATTATTAATTTGAATACGATACAAATACCATTGAGCATCAATATTTAAACAGCAAGAACTAGCTATCTAAAAATTAAAGAATTCTTCACTTGAAAACTTAAAACCTTTTTTTTCAACAATTGTGATCATGCATGCCCACATCATACTGCTTACTTGAAATTGTCGAGGTAAAGTTTCTGCTTCCTCACGCACACATGGATCACCGTTTGCTTTCAAATTCATTTTCTAAAATCGGAAAAACTTCTTTTAGCGACAAGCAAATTTCATTAACGGCGCAAGTGAACGTAGTGGTCATCTTTTCCAGTCTTAATTCAAAGAGCGCAACCTGTTTCGTATTTACAATTCATCTCGTGTTTCACATCTGTACATAAAAAACGCGTTCCCTATTAATAAACCCAGTGAAAAAAGTAGTGGTCTTTGGTTGTTGTGTAATGATGTTCTTGCGCGTGCGCATTTCCCTTTTTTTTATAAATGTAATTCTCACATCAGTTCTTAGTACGGGTAATAAAATGTGGTACACTTAAAGTGCAAAAGAAATTCTCACACCAAACTTTTAAAATGTTTTACTCATTTCCTACTGTTCATGAACGGCAACTGCATGCATAATGTAAATATATATTGACATCTAGATATAAAATATAGATATTTTAGATTGCACGCACTCAAGAGCGTAAATAAGGGCCAACGTAGAGCGTTCCAATTCTAAACGACGTCCCGTACATGGGCTTATGGGACTAGTCAAACGGCCATTTTATAGGGGGTCATCCGTTCTGACCCTCATAAAAACTAGATTTATATGCATAA